ATTCTGAAAAGTTTCCTTTGCATACACTTGAGTAAATATTAGGGCACCACAGCTGTGCACTGAATAAGATCATTGCTTAATCCAGCACTAAGTTAGAAACATTAATTTTAGCAGAGACAGTGGCAGAACCACCAGAGTGAAAGTTCAGTAGAGGCTTTAGCTTGAACAGAAATCATTCTCTGGCTTAGGTCTTATTGAAGGGCTTCTGGTTTATCCTAAATTGTCATTTAATGTAGAAAAGCATCTAATCACAAAACAACACCTACCACTCTATTACTAAATCAGGATCCTAAGTACCAAAATAACCATGGGCCCCAAAATATCAACAATGTGCCATAGGAAGACAGAAGAGTGAAGACATCAGTAATTTACCAGTTTTTCCCACTTCTTTTTCCATTGTTTTTTTTTTTTTCCCTAAATTTCTAATCTGGAACTTTTTTGCTTTAAGCCATAAAACAATAGAAATAATTTTTTCACATTATGTGAGTATTGGATAAGAAATGGTGAAGTGTCTCTGAAGAACTCAGCACTGGAGGGGGTGTTTTAAGGAAAATCACAAACATTGTACAGTGCTGCAGAAAAGCTATTTCTGCTAACAATGGAGACCAACAAAATGAAACTTTGGAACGATATGAAAATATTAATTCCAAACAAACAGCAGTGCCAGAAAGTAAATTTAGCTTCTGAATGCAACCTAGCATTAATCTGTCTGGAAGCTGTGCCAACCAGCTTTTTAGCTGCTTAGTAAAGGTTTTCTAAAAAATTAATCAGATTCCTTTATAAGTAAGATTAAAATCTTGGTAAAAATGATTGTGAGTATTGTGAGTACAATAACTTTACAATTTTTTTCAAGTATACTGTATGTTTCGGAGGAGTAGTACTTCTCTTTGTGACAGCAAAAGACAACTCTTCTTTAAGAAATTACTTCTGTGTTTTCTATTTACTTCTAATGGTAAAAAACTGTGTGACAATCTTAGTACCTTCTTGTTTTGTAATCTAAATAGCTAATATTTAATAAGGTATTTCATGCTTCATATTCCAGCAAGAAAGTAGAGTTTGAGGAGCAGTAAAAGGGTTATATTTTAAATAGAAAAAAATCTTATAGCCATGTTCTCAAGAGTCATAATTGTCGAGCTGTATCCCAGAAAAAAAAGTTTTCATATCATTAGGTTTTCTTTCTGATTTTCCTTCAAATATATCATCTTTGGAATCATGGATTCTTTTAATCAAAACACTCCAAAGATTCTCAGGGGGGTTGGGTTTTTTTTTTTGCGGGGGGGTGGGGGGCATTTATCCAAATTAAAAATAATTCAATTTAGCAAAAATTGCTGCTACTTTTGCATTTTAGGTTTTCTTATTTATCATGACAAAACCATAATCCCATTTCCAACAGTATGGTGATCAGAGCACTCAAGTGGAAAATGGATATTCCTGACTCAAAGCAGGGGTAAAAGCTAAAAGAACAAGGATTTAAACAACCTGGGACTGGCACATCCCAACTAAGCATCTTAACCCTGGGGCAGCTGTCTACCCTAAATATAAAATTCTCAGTCTCAAAATTCTCTCCTATACCTACCTGATGAAAGTTTAATCAAAAACTTTTCCTTGAAGAAAAAAATGCTTTGTTCAGAAGTTCCTGAATATCTCCCTTTTGATCACACTTTCCAATAATGGTCTGTTTACAGATAGTTTAAAAACATTTAGTTAATGAGTAACAGATGATATAAGCACATTACAAACGGGAATAGCATGGGTTACCAAACGTGAAAGCATATCAGGAGAAAATACTTTATGCAAATAATCATAAACAGCCTATTTACCCACTGATTGACAATTCATGTAAAAAAAAAAAAAACAAAGAAAAGAAAAACCACAAAAACATAACAATATATTAATCCTGTAGATATAATGTATAAATGGAAGCTTAATACAAAGTGTATCTTCATTTCTAAGTGACTACATTAAGCAGAGATGTAGCTGGTTATTTTTATTAGGCCTGTGCGAAGTGGCTAGTTATTCACTTCAGATTAGGATTTGGCCGATTTGGAGGAAAATGATTCGATTCAGCTTATCCCCAAGTCCTTCTCTGTAGTACTGCAACCAAGACTGTCATTCCCAGTGTGCATCTGTGCATGAAGTATTCCATCCCAAGTACAGGACTTTGCACTTGTCCTCGATGAATCTTATCTGACTGATTGCAGACCATTTTTTCTAGTCTGTCTAGATCATTCTGGATCCTAGCCCTGTCCTGAAGAGTCTGCAACTGTGCCCAATCTGGTGTCATCTGCAATTTAGCTAAGCATCTCATCTTCCAAATCATTAATGAAGTTATTGAACAATATTGGGCCCACAACAACCCTTGGGGAACCCCACTTGATAGCTCCTCCCAACTAGACATTGAACTGTTGATTACTATGATTATCCAGCTAGTTATCTATCCACCTTATAGTACTTCTATCTAGTCTGTATTTCCTTAGCTTGTTAATGAGGATGTTATAGGGGACAGTGTCAAAAAAGTTTTGCTAAATTAAGGGTATATCACATACACTGCTCTCCCCCTATCCACAGAGCCTGTCACTTTATCATAGAAGGAAATCAGATTGCCCAGGCAGTGGCGATGAGTAGAGGGTGCTGAGAGTGCTGGTGTACTCCCTGACAGGCTGCACTCCCTGCTTACGCAATGGGCAGGGGTGGGCAGGCAGGAGCACCGGTGTCCCCCTTGCAAGCGCCAGCCAGGGAGTGGTGGCACCAGGTGAAGTGTCACTGACACTTCCAGGAGTGCTGCAGCCGCTTCTCAGTCAGCACAATCAGCCGCAGGGGAACCCTCTCCCCCCATAGTCGGTGAGATTTTTGTCATGGGGGGACCCCCCCAGTTGCTGACTGGTCACTGCGGGGGTACGTGCCCCCCCGACTCAGGTGGCACTAATCGCCCATGTGGCCAAGCATGACTTGCTCTTGGTGAATCCATGCTGACTGTTCCTAATAACTTTCTTCTCCTGTAGCAGCTTCACAATTGATTCCTTGAGGACTTGCTTCATGATCTTTCTGGGTATGGAGGTGAGGTTCACTGGTCCTCAGACTTTCCTTCTTCCCTTTCTTAAAGATGGGCAGGGCAGTGTAAGTTCCCTTTTCCAGTCACCTAGGACTTTGCCTGACCTCTGAGTTCTTAAATATGACAGTCAATGGTCCCCAGAATTACTGCAACCAATTCCTTCAGTACCCTTGGATACATCCTGTCTGGCCCTTAAGATAAGATAGGAGCTTAAGACTTGGTTTACCCATAAATTTGGGGCCAATTTACCCATTTTGGTTAGAATTATGTTTTATCTACTGAAACAGTGATACTGGCATGGGTACCATTATGGCTGCTATTGGTAGCGGGCATTCTCTATTTTCAGTATGAGAATGAGCTGTATTCAACATAAGCAGCTACACACTGGTATAACAGTGTCCACAGTCATTGGAGTTAACTGTTAGATAGAGCTAAGCAAATATTTCTATTTTTTGGCAAGTAATAAGCAGATGTTGAAGAATAATTTCAGTTTTAAAAATGGGGTTATGGGAGAGGGAATTGAGCATTTTCAAAATGAAGTGGTTTAATTTTTTATTTCAACATAAAACCAGGATTCCCTAATCCCAGTGCTGTGCCATAATCATTGGGCTACCAAGTTGTATTGTGCCTTGCTTGCTTCCATCTTTCCCTTTTTCCTATATAATGGCCTAGCTTCAGCAGAAGTAGTATAAAGTGCCCCTTTCCTAGCCTATAATCTGGTGATTTTTCCACTCTGTGATGTCAACTAAGGAGACTCAAATGACCAAACCTACCTCTTCTCAAGCTAGTACTCTAACCTCTTGACAATTATGTAGAAGGTAGGACTCAGGATCAGCACTACCAACTATGTATTGAAAGAAAAGGGTAAACTGGGTTGCCATAGTGTTATCCACACTAGGGGCTATACCAGTATAACTGTTTCAGCAGATATAATTCAAAACCAAATGGTTAAACTTGCCCAAAATCTGTGGGTAAACCAAACTTTAAGCTCTTATCTAGCTAGAATTTTAATAATTTGTCCTACTGCACTAATAGATGCTGTGGGAGATCACCATTTTGTAGGATTGACCATTTTCAAATATCTAAATAGAACCTAAGTCTAGGAATTGCTTTCAGATTGGGAATTCCAGGTTAGTTAGGTATTCAACTCAAAGTTGCAGGCAAGTGACTCATCTCCTCTTTCTTACTGGCTAATTTAAGGCATCACTGCCTTTTGTTATTCCCATTTCCAGGCACCTCACTTTCTCTGTGCACCAGACAAGTAGTTCAGGGTTTGGCAACTCTGGTCATGTCTATACAAGACACTGACTGTGCAGTAGCTCATTCCTACTGTGTAGTCAGTGTCACCAAAAAGCTGTTCCAGGACACTGCTGCATAGAAATGCTGGTTACTGCACAGTCATTTAGTACTTGTGTATGCAAGTACTAAATGACTGCGCAGTAACAACTGTGCAATCAGTGTCTTGCATAGATGCGGCCTCTGTGGATACAGCTCCTGTATCTTGTAGAACCTAGTCTTCATGGCCCATGATCCTATGAATTTGGATAGTTTCATCAGTGCCACTTGCAATAATAAATTATGCAGCCTTTGACACCAGGAAAAACAACCCTGTAGCAAGATCAGGATTTGTTTTATTTTCTATCCAGTTTATATTGATTTTAGGATCAGAAATCTCAGCTCTCAGTCACCTGAACCCCAGGCTACTTGTGTATTTAATGCTGAGCTAATTACAAATTCCTCACAAAAGGCAATTCTATTGCCTTCAAACTCAGCTGTTATTGGAGAAAAACTTGCCATCTCATAAATACAAAGTTAAGCCAGTTTATGAGTAAGATTAATATTTCACAACTTAAAAGATTCTAGTTTGACGAAGTCTTAAAAATCTCATTAAAAAAACCCACTTTAGCCATTTTACATTAGAACCACTTAGGGATTAAGAGCTGCTTACCATTTGAGACTGAATTTCCATTTTCAGCAGTTACAGAACAGGACAGTGGATTAGATGGTTGAGTTCCATGGTTGTTTGCATTTTTATCTTGGGCTTCCAACCCAGGTTCTGATGTGAGGGGATCTTCCCTGCTTGCCAAGTTCAGATTTGTTTCAACACCTGAGACAAGAGAGAAAACAAATTGTCAGATTTTTGGTTAGTAGCCTATTTTATGTGCCCCTTCTAAGTCCAGACTGGTCCCTAGTAGAAAAATATCCTCTTACTTTGAATGTGAGTGTTAGTTACATGCTTAGCCCAATAGACAACTGATAAATGAGATGCATTCAATGTACTGATTAGCCAGGGAGGACCAATAATTAATTTCTTTTAATATGATGCTTTGCTAATGCTGAGGCTGCATTCCTCTGATGCATTCTTCTGCATTCCTCTATGATGGAGATCTATAACCTGGTTTTCGGTTGCATTATTTCTTTTCATAAAAATATCAGTTTACAAAATCAAAAAGAAACTATGCTCTTCAAAAATTGCACTGCTTGTATATGCAGATGTGATAACTATATGCAGGAGTAGATCCAGGGAGATACGGCAGTGCAGATACAGTCCCTTCCACCACTGTCCCTGACTTATCCAGATGCAGGAGGAACCCCAGAGCAGCTTCTGCCTCAGTCTAGCTGCAGGCTATGGCTACATGGGGAGGTGGGCTCAACAGGAGACAGTGGTGGTGGCAGTGCACAGGTTTCTCCTTCCACTACCTGCTCCCTGCCCACCTCTCCCCTGCAGGTGTTCCCCACCAGCTGGGCACAGGGGCTGGAAGGGGAAAACTGTGTGCCTCTGCAACAGACTCTGGCCAAGTCTAGCTCCCCACACAGCTGCTCCCCATAGCCCCTTGCTGGAGCAAGGCAGGAACAGCTCTGCTTCTCCTATGCACCTAGGTCATATGGGGACTGTAGCAGTGGTGTTTGGGGGGGGGGGACAAGAAGCTCCCCACCCTTCATGTGCCTGCTCCCTGCCCTTTGTACACCCACTTTCTGCCCAACGTCCTGCTGTCCCGTCAACTTGGGAGCCCCAGCCACACCTCATGCCTATTCCCCAGGGTCTGAGGGGCAGTGTGCTGCACTACCTTTAGTAAATCCTGCATCCACTCATGACTATATTATGTACATTTTAGATTGTATTCTTATGGGCATATAGTAACCTCATCACTGTAGGCCAGGCTAAGGGCGTAAGTTACATGAGTGATGGCTGCAGTATAGAGAAAAACAATGAACATCTCCAAGGCAGAGAAATTAAATTGTCTTTCTTATAAAACCAGATCTGCCAGGATGTGTGTCTGTAGTGACCCATGGTGGCCATGATGTGGCACTGCTTTCCTTGCCTTTCCATGGTCTTTTATGGGTTACTTGCCATTTCTTACGTGGTCCAGGGTTTGGTGCCTTAGCATTCTAGTTCTATTCCTTCCAGGACATTGATATCCCCAAACAAGGCTTGTTTCTCTTACTTCTATGTCCCTGGAAGGAAGCTCAGTTAGTCAAAGAAAGAAGCGAAGCTCCTCTTTCTTGCTCAGACTTGACCATACTAAGCACTCTCTTTTTACCTTCCATATCTATGCCTCTTGGATGTTCATGCCTGACACTTAAACTAAGTGTAGTGAGTGAGTCAGGGTTGATTTGGCTCAGTGGCCCTTATTAACTCCATCCTAGCAAATATGCCAGGTTTGCACATCCCAACACATGCTTTCCTGTGCAGGATTGTGTTTAGGATTTTAGCATTCCCTGTCTCCCATCATGAGAGAAAAAAATGGGATTACAGTAAAAGCACTCATGGGGGCAGGAACCACTGACTGAACTGGGGGCTGGTGTTACTTATTGTACTCAGCCACTACTGAAGGCTCTGATCTGTGGGTACAGGATATTCCTGAGAAGGTAAATTCAAAGCACCTTCATGGACCATTTCAATATCAAGCCTTCTTTTTTCCATAACTCTGTCATGGAGAAATAATTTCCAGGTGTGGTAGAGGGTGGTGTGCTCTTATTTATTGTAGTCCTGATTCAAGACAAGATTCAAATTGGTTATTCACTAATGTATACCGTAAGTACATTACTTTTTCTTCTGTTGCATTTTGCAAGGCATGCTGTAAATTTGGCTTCTTCAAGGGACTCGAGGTCAGCAGCCAACTGATGAAGTGTTCATTTCTGGTTATAAATAGCTGCATCATTCATGTAAATCAGAGCATATTGGCCATAAGAGTAGAACACCATTACCATGAAAATCTGCAGGGTCCCCAGGGAGGTCAAATGGTGGTTTGAAACTGAATAGTCATATAGTGCAACAAAAACTATTTCTTTCTGGGACTCCTGAGTGAGAGGGATGTGTCAGGACCTGTTCTTTAGATGTAATGACACAACATGGTAGAGATGGCCCAACAGAACCAGTAATTCATCCACTAAAGGCACGGGAAATTATTTAAATTTTGTGATGCCACTGATCTTTGTGAAGTCATTACAGAATAGGGAGGAGAAACCATCCTACTTGGTTACTAATATGATAGGGCTTCTCAGGTTACAATGCAATCCTTTAATAACACCAAGATCCAGCAAGAAGAAGAGTTCCTGCTTTACAATCTACCTCATCATATTAGGAAGAGGTTCAAACATTCCCCTGCTTCACTCTCCTACAGATTTTTGACAAATGTTACTGTTCACCAGACTTTGCTCTTAGCCCACCACTTGCTATCACTGATTTGGCTGAGCGGTTATGGCTTAAAAGAGTCTGGCTTGAAAAATACATAAAATACAACACTGAGAGTGTGGAGCAAATGTTTACCTTAGTCTTTATAATATCAGGTTGACTGCAAAGTATGAAACATATGATACCTGATATTAATTTGCTTTAAATAGAAATGTCACATATATTTAGATGTTAACATTCAATGCTCTTGCCCAAATATTATGATTCACCTACATAATTGCTGTGCCACCTTTATATAAAAAATAATCTTGGAGAAGGAGCCTGTGGATCCCTTTTTTTGATACCGTGAAAATTTAGATTGCCCCAGAGGCTCCTGTTTACTTTAAAGGAGAAGCAGCAGCAGGGACCTCTGCAGTTTGGGGAAGACTATGGGCTATGGGCTAGCTACAATGGAGTAGGCAGGGACCCAAGTGCCCATTGTGGCAGCTACCTAGCTAGCAGTAGAAGAGTAGGGCAAGTCCCTGGTTAGGCAGCAAGGGTGTTAGCAGTTAAGCTGCCCTGGAGGCTCAGGGGGCATACCTATGGCTAGTCAGGGGAGAACATGACCAGAAGGGGAGGAGCCAGGAGATACAAGCATGGGCTCCTGAGACAGAAGGGCAGTGCAGCCCTGAACTCAGCTAGGACAGGAGGTCCTGCCAGCTCAGGCAGGTGGGAAATGAGAGCTATAAGCTATGGCAGATACTCATCAGGCTGAGAATAGGCAAAGGGCTTGACAGTAGTATGATGACCCAAAAAGGGAGTGTTTGAGTTTGAAGTGGTTGCTTGGATGGGGGTTTTTTTTCTAGTTTATACCAGAGGATGAAAATTGGCTGATAGGAGTAGATTGGAGGCCACAGGGGTGCTGCAGGGGCAACCGGAATACAGCCCTTCCACATTCAGGGTTGCCAGGGGAGCTGAGCCAAACCAAGAGCAGCCTTGCTCTGTGTTGGGGAGGCCAGGGGGATAAGCTGAACTGGGAGGAGTCTTTCCCTAAGTCACATACCCTGGAGGACTGAGCTGAACTGAAAGCAGCTTGGCCCTGGATCAGGGATGCTAGAGGGGTTGAGCTGAAGGGAGAGCAGCCTCACCCTAGGTCAGGGACACCAGGGAAGCTGAGACAAGGCAGAAGACTGAGCCAAGGGGCACAGAGATCAGAGACACAATGAGGGTTGAAGCCAAGAGAGCTGGGCTTGAATCAGTGACCAGTGCAGCCACAGTAAAGGGGAGGCTAAAACCAAGAGGGCTGAGGCCTCTACAACAGAACTAAACTGTGGACAGAGCAACATCTGTGAATCATGGCCATGAAGAGACTTCAAGAAGACTGGTGCCCTGAGGTGCTCATGGGTCCAAGAGTGATTGAAGACTTGAAAAACAGGACTGGGGGGTCAGCCAGGTGCAGGAGAGACCCACTGACTTAAAGCAGGCTAGGGCTCACTCAGGGACCATGGGGCAGCCTTTCAAAAGAAAATAATTTCATCAAGGTGTAGCAGGTGAGAGGAAAAGGGAGGGCACACCAGGGAGCCAGAGGAGGGCAGGAGCTGTGTGGCCACCAGGCAGCATCACAGTTGCCCCTGTGGCCTGGTTCTGTTACGCCCCAACATCACAAGCAAATGGAAAAATAATTTTTGTGTACCCAGTTTGTAATTCTTTTTTTCAGTCACAGATACGTACCAACCCTCCTTACCAATAATGGAGTGCACCTGGAAAAGGGAAATCTTTTTGTTGTCTATTTGAAATGCCACAAAATATTATGTATAGTTACTGTCCAGCTAAGATATCATCAGTAACTAGGAAAAATAAGCAATGGATAGGTATGTAGTTTGTCATTTGGGACAAGCACCCTTATACAGATTATTAACTGTCTCATTTGCTTCATTCTATTACTGTGGCCAATAAATATCTTAGACGCTAACTGCTGTACTAATAAAGAGAAAAGTAGGGTTACAAACCACAACCCCATAGGTGTCCCTATACACTTGTTACAAACCCTAAAAATGAGGGGTTTGCCCCAAAGGGGCAATTCAGTACAACAAAGTTAGTCCTCTACAATTCACAAACAATTTGTGGAGAGAGTTAAGGGTCTCTCAAGGGCAATTCAGAGCTCCTAAGCACTTAACAGGGAAATACCTACAGGTCACCAATAGCATGTTTGAACTCCTCACTCCTTTGGAGCTCAGACACCTAATTTAGGGCTGCATATGAGGCACTGTTTTTTCAAAATCCAGATCTCCAAAAGGGAGACACCTGACAGCTGCATTCTGACAGCTTTAATGAGTTCAGGGGCATCTCATTCAGTAACACAGCCAGAAGCAGTATCTATGTTTTGCTTAACTGGCTAGAGAACTTGCCCATGAAGTAGGAGGCTGCAAGTCTAGACCTCTTCAACACCCAATCTCTCTGCTATTAGGAGAGTGCTCTAAATCACCAAGCTT